GAGAGGTACAACCCACCTATCCTGGACTTCCCGTCTTCGGGTACGACAATAATCGCTTGCAAGAAAGTTCATCAGAGGTGCACAATCGGAGATTTATGGCGCGTCCTCGAAAACTCCTTGCTGGTAAAAGACTGACCACTAAGGAAGTAAAGAGCGAAACGATGACGAATGAGATCCCGGAGACCGGAATTGTTGGGAAACAATTTGAGGAAATTATTGCAAAAATTTGGGGAATTTCGCCCCCAAAATAAAACGAATAATGTTGTAAAACGCATTTGTTCATATTTGTAAATATGTGTAAATATAGGTATTTTTGCTAGTAGTAAAAAATGTATGTATATATTTAGATTAGTTTAGATTTAGAGTATTTTTGTACAGTCGTGTTAATTATAAAACATCTGAAAAAATTTAGTTTTTCATTTAAAAACGTGATCAAGTTTGATTGCCACTTGTTGCGACAAACCACCATTCCGACCTTCCAACCCTTGTTTTGAATATTTTCTACTTAAGCTCCAGCAATGGTTTTCCTAACACACCTAGTATTTTATATGTAGGTGTGTTATAAACAGCCTGTTTCCTCAAAATGGTGAAAAGTGTTAAGAATGAAAGTTTTTTACTATTATGCACATTTGCAAATTCCGAAATTTTACATTGTAAGAGTTTGGTATGGCAACGTGTGGTTAGCGAAATAGGTTTACACTGGCAACACGGTCGGGGCCTATTTTGAGTTTAGACGTTTTTGGGTTAGCGGGTTTCGCCATCTTAAGATTTTGAGGTATTTTGGAATTTAGTGATTTTAGTAGTCTCGCTTAGTGAATTAATAAATTGCTGAAAGGTAGTGAAGGAAGGAAAGTTTATCATTTTAATCGGCCACCTCTATAGATGGTAGTAGGAAAATCCTAAAAAATAATTAAATGCACCAGCATAACGCCTGCCAGCTTCATACCCGGCGTGAAAACCCTTTTGTCATGCGTGCACTTTCGCCGTGCTTTAGAAAATTGGAGCGATGTGCATCGGTCAGTCTTGCAACTCGAACGAATCACACACTTAAAAAAGGATTTTTACTAAGCGGAACTCACCCGGACAATCAAGTGGTTGTAAAACCTCCACCCTGAAAGAATCCTCTCTAGCATGGAAGACACATTTTGCTAAGCCGAAAAGCCCACTAGACACTGCTTTCACTTCTGAGCTACCAGTGGCGACACATTTTCGTTA